AAAAATATATTTTTAATATGTTTTTGTTATATTTTCTTAGTTAAGATTTCCAAAAAATATGCTGTTTTTGTTTTTCAAAAAATCCAGCAGATATATTTCTCATTAACTTAGACATAAAACAGTCAGGGACAATTTGTCTCTCACTCTTATCTGTTACTGAAATTTTATACTATGAGTAATGAACAATAAATTAATAATCAAGACAAATTCAAAAATGTCTGATTGTGTCAGTTATTTAGCATACATTGAGGAATGTGATACTTCCAATACAATATCTCATCTCAATTCACATAACAGCTTTCCTAGATTTGTACTGCCCTCTATATGTGCAATTTGTGCTCGCCACTAGTCTTGAGGCTCCCACCTAACATCACGTGTTTATATGTGGTATATCTGCATTATAGCATGCAAATGAGCTTGTGACAAACCTCCACAAGTAGAAGTGCAACACACCCTCCTAGTGCAGTTGATCCTCTCTATACTGTAGAGCACAATCATCACTTCTTGATTTGGCATTCATGTGTGTGTAACAACATGTCTCATTTTGCTTGTGAACTTTTTCAGATATAGACGTTTTTTCAGTGAAAGTATCTATAAAGCCATTGTTTTACAAGTGTCAGTAATTTCCACTTTGTCTGGTGTGAAACAACATGACTTATTCATTCTAGCCTACCAATTACATTGGTGTTGGGTTTGTCTTTGTCTGTTGGGAGAGGTGATGGCTTTTGTATGGCAGGTGGTGGAGTCATTCATATGGCCTGAGCCTTCTTTTGTCCCTAATGTACCTCTGGCTGTGTTTCTTGTTCGTGACAGAAGGGATTTTGCCAGTTTTTTTTCTCACCTACCTTTGCTTCACCTTATAGTCATATTGTCTGGATTCTATCTCGGCCTTTTTTGTAATTTCATGATTAGGTTTCTAAGGTACGTTTTTTACATATTCAATTATTTTTACCACTACTTTGGGGCATACATGCCTTGTCCTCTTTCCTTTGTTACCTCTTATGACTAGGCATGACTTCATGCTGTATTTCTTTTCTTTGACCCCTAAATTCTGGAGTCTTCAGATTTAGGGGTCAGATTCTCTGTCTTGTTTTCATCTTTCTCAGGCTTAGTTTTTCCTATCTTCATCTTATGCACACTACCCTTTTCCATTAGTTTTCCTTTTTTAACCTTTCCTTGGTAATCCACCATTTCCCTGTGGGGTTTTTGATTAATGCTCATTCTCTTACCTTTTCTACAGAGATGTGTTTATCTTTCTTGATATTTTCACACCTTTTTTTTGGTTGATTTTTTGCTAGAGTTGGTTGGGCCATGATGCCTTGTTACTAAATTGCTTTACCTTTCTTTTATCTCATATGCTTTCTTCTGGCTACTGGTTTTACTGATATGCATGTATTTCTGGTGTCATATGTTGGGGTTGCATGCCAATTTTATGCCTTATCCTCACTGGTTTACCATCATTTCTGTGCTCCTTCTTTGCCTCTTTCTGTCACCACTTACCATTTCTCTTTCCATCTGTTCTTCAGTCACTGGTAGACTTTGATTGTGTCAGTCTTGGTGATGACTGTCCTCTAGGCTCAGGAGAGCCTGTTTTGTTTGGTTTATGGACTTTAACCTTCATTTGGAGCCAATTATTGTGCATTGGAATTTTTATCAGAGAGCTTTAACCTTCTTTTTGCCTCTTCTCCTCCTCTTATATTTCCTGTTCCAATTGCTTTACATCCTCCAAAGGATATTGTTTTTTGCCAACATTGATCCTAATGGCTACAATCTCTATTGGATGGGTTTCTCATCATTTTCCAGGTTTTTCTTCCCACCTTTTTGTGGTTCCCAGGGAATCTGTTGATGGGTGTTAAGTCTTATATCTTTCATTTATCTGTCGGTTTTCATCTTCCCTCGCTTTCCCGTGGGAAATTTATCACCCTTTTGCCCCAAGTCTTGGAATGACTGAGATGGACATCTCAGAGGTTTCTTTTCTTGTTTGGCTCTGTCCCAACAAGCCTCCTACAGCCATCTTCTTCTCTTTTGGAAGGCAGCATGTTTGGTTTAGTTGGTTCAACTTGGAGGAGTTATATCTCCCACTCATTTCATTTCTCATTTGTTTGGGTGTTTTTTCGTTTGTATGTCTGCAGGGCCCCAACCTTCTACTCTTCTTTTGAGGGACATGGAGTGTTTGATTTCCCATGCTATATCTTCTCTTTCCCTCACTATGCGGGAGGTTCGCTCTTTTTGGAGACTTGGGCTTCCATGGAATCCTGTATCTCCTTCAGTCATGCTCATTTATGATGTCTACAATGGACTACACATTCTCTGGATCCTTCCTTGGGATACCTTGTCCTCAACCATTCTCTTTCTTCCTTCCTTACTCAAAGACTTCACCTGGTGACTTGATAAGATGTCTCTTATGGTGGGTATTCCTCTTCCTCAGGTCTCCTTCTGTTTCCATATGCAACCTTGATGAGATGGGAGGCATGTCTCAACTCTCAAGTGAATTTGGGTCATTGGTACCATGACATATTGTCTCTTAGAATTTTTAATTTTTTTAGGATGGTTCATAGACATTTATTCATTATACATACAGTGAACTCTGCAGTTGTCTCATTTATTAATCACCAGGGGGACACTGTCTTGCTCTCCCTGTTTCCACACTATCAACCTTCTTTTTTGGGTGGCACGTTCTATACAGGCAGATCTAATAGCCAAGATAATACCTACAGATTGGTCCCTTGTTTCTCTGGTGTTCAAGTGGCTGTATTCTCATTTGAACACTCTTCTTCCCTATGTTTTTTCAATTTTTTTCAACACTCCACTTTTCCTTTTCTGGTCTCCTGTTCCCCTTCCCTCAGTTTTAGCTGAGGATGCATTCTGTCAGGACTGATTCAACTTTTTTTCTCTATGCTTATCCTCCTACTAGTCTTTTTCCTTGTGTTTTTCCCTCATTCTGAACACTCCATGTTTAGTCCTCCTGGTAACTCCTTCATACTGGCCGGTTCAGCCATGGTTTCCTCTATTGTCCCTTCTTCTGTCCTCTCCTCCTCTACTTCTGCCACACTCCCTACTCCTTCAACTTAACTCATTCCTCTCCCATCCAGCAGTGTCATCATTCTGACTTCATTTATGGGTTTTGTCTAGTCCCTTGTGAGACATTCCAAGCTCTCTTTATGTGTAGCCATCTTTCTTTTTTGTTTTGCTAGTTCTTCCTCCCACTTTGCTTATCTATGATAAGGGTGCACATTCTGTAGTTGGTCTCTGTGTTATGTTTTCTTTCATTCCCTTCCTTCTATCTTCCATCTTTCCAAATTTTTATGCTGACTGTTCAAATGAGGCTTATCGCTTTTGATCATGGCTGGTTGCCAGGTAGCTCTACATAATACTTCCAGGTTTTCTCGTTAATGTCATGTATTCTCCTCTCTTTTCTATACTTTTTTGATTTGGGCCTCAATACTGTTCTCCATGCCCTTACCCTTCCTTTCTCTGACCCTTTAATCTCTTGTTCTTTGAATCATCTTTTGCTTAAGTCCTACTTCTTACTTTTTACCTGTGGCTATAGGAGATATGAAGTGTATGCCATTGCTGCTTGCCATATTTTTTCCTGACATTTTCAATATTATTCTTGTTTCATTCTGAATCGTTTGTTGTTTTTTGACCCATCTGCATTTCATAGTTTATGCTCCCACCTATTTATTCTTTGGAATTCCTCATCTCCCTGAAATATTTCTCCTATTATTCTCAAGGGATGGTTACAGCACCTCATCCATTTAGCCAATGCTTCATTGGATGTAGATTCACATTGACTCTTTCAAATCTCCTCTCACCAAATCTGATACCCTTCTCTCTCTCCGCCTGGCTTTTTACTTCTGTTATCCTTTGGAGGGGTTCATGCATATTGGTGTACAGACTACCCCACTTACTTTTTCTTAATCTTCTGACCATTTTTTCTTCTCGATATCGACTTCCTACTGTTACCATTCTACATACCCCTAAGTGACTGTGAGTGGGTAAGTTCTCTTTTTATATATCTTACCTTACAGTGGCCTATTTCTATGTCTCTGAATTCTTGTCAGTGGAAAGTGGTGCCTGTCTGGGTTTACTTAACTTTTAAGTCTGCACCATGCGACCTTTAAAGGTCTGTAATGCTCACTGAGGAGATGGGGTGTTCTACAAAACTACTGAAGGGTTCCTTGCAGTATATTGCTTCATAAATGAGGTCTGTTCCAGACCATACCAACTCATGGATAATTATGCATAAAGCAGTGTTGGGATTGCTGCCAGTCCCTCCAGTCCTAGTTGAATAAACCGAGACTGGCCTGCATTTCAAAATAGAGTTTTTATGGTCACCCATTGCACAGTCTTAGGGTGTTGCATTCCTCCAGATTCCTCACTGCATTGTTTCCCTGCCCTCTTCAATGGAGTTTGGGAGCCCTTGCCACTTACCATTTCTTAGCTGCTGGGGTGGTGGACCATGGAGGCTTCCTCCAGAGTGTGACCACTTTCATTTAGTCAAGAGTAGGACAGTGGTGTTATGTTGGTGTAGATAGTGAGTACTCTCATCCTACTGCAGACTGGAAGTCAAATACCCAATGCCTCCTGGTTTTGGACTGGAAGAATCCACCGCATGCAGTCCACCCTTCTGGCTGGCTTTCCCCTATCCTACTGCCACCTAGAAGTCTGTTCCCAGGTTGTCTTGTGTTAGATTAGCATAGGACCACCCAACATAAGTCCTATCATATTTAGTTGGTAGGGACCCTCCTATTACCACAGACTGGATGAAAAATTCCAGACACCATCTGGTTTTAGACTGGAGTTGACTGACAATGTTTGCATTCACCCATCCTACCATTGCACAGATGTCAGGTTCTCAGGTGGCTGGTTGTAATGGGTCTGCACACATGTGCCCTGGTTGGGTTGCCAGAATGGAAATTGCTTTTCTCTTCTGCTTCCTGGTCTTGAGATGAAGATGGTTGAGACCCTCCTCCCACTATGAACTGGAAGACACATACCCGATGCTGCTTAGATTTGGACTGGAGTTGACACACTGAATACTGTCTGACATACCGTAGTCACTTTACACCATCTGGCTCCTCCATTTACTGTGTGGACTTGCATCTTTTCCACCTGGATTATAACACACACCTTTACAGCAAGCAAAGGGTATATCTTGGTCATATGTGGTGTGGTCTCCCATTAGTGTGACCCTATATCGTATGATATCACACTCCATGGGTTCTCTTCAGATGTCTTCTGAAGAGTGCTCATCTAGATAACTTTTGCACCAGTCCCTCCACCTTTTCAATGTGGGATTTTAACTATTATGTGAGTAGAGATAAGGTATAGTATCGGAAGTTAACATTTTCCAACACTGAAATTCTTTTTCCGATAGATACTTACATCTGCTTACACTTCCCGCCCATCCTCCCCACTTTTTTTGCCTAATCTTGAAGTGATGATTGTGCTCTACATTATGGAGGGAGTCAGCTGCAAGAGGATGGTGTGTCGTGCTCCTATTGATGGAGGGCTGTTTCATGCTCATTTCCATGCTACAATGCAGCTATATCAATGTAATCACATGATGCTGAGTAAAGATTGAGCATATAGAGGGCAGTACAAATCAAGGAAAGCTATTATGTGAGAGGAGTTAAGCATCTATTGGAAAATGTTAACTTTAAAGTTGGTTCATTAAACTGGTTCATATATTGTGTTTTTGATTTGTGTTAATCAGCTTGATTTTATATGATTTGAAGTATTCCTACATATTTCTGTTCCTATCCGTGCTGTAAAATTGTTATGAGCATCTAAAGTGGTTATACTGAAGCTGTCTTGTAGTAGATACGGAATGTGGGGATTATTTTTAAATTTGAAACAGAGTGTAGGAAACAAAAAGGAAAATGGATAGCCTTGGAAACAATTTTCCAGACATTATGAAAGTTCAATCAATCAATTCAAATACAAATAGAATATTCATCATTTTGTAATCCAGTTTGAACATTCAGATATTTATTTCAGTACTAGTAAGGAGATATTTATTCTAGCAAATAGAGATTAAAAAATAATGTTTACATAATTCCTATAATGAAAAAAATGGAGTAACAGAAATGTTTTTATAAACTTGTTTAAATTGTGTAATATAAGATGCCAAACTATCTGACAGAGATTTCAAAAATATATATAAATATATAAGCATTAACCTTTAGCTTTCAACATGATGAACTTTTTAAAATACACAATATAAAATATATATTCTGAGACCATCAGTGGTCTCAAAAAGAAATGATACATTACATGTGTTAATGCTAATTAACCACATCATCCTCATGAGTGTCATCTGTTTTTGATACTGCTGATAGTTTCAAAATAAAGGTTTTAAATTATGTATTTTAATCAGCAAACCTTAATATGTTTGAAAACCAATGTAATATCTTGTTTGTTTTTTTTGGCAAATTGCAAGTTGTCATTATGACAGGAGTGCAATTTGTTTTTTAAATAAATCAATTTAATTTTCCAAATGTTTTTTTTATGTTTCTATTTAAAACATTGTGATGAGTGTTGAAAAAAGAAGCATTTATGGCATTATGTTGGTATTTTTTACTTGTTTACTACATTTAGTTAAAGAACTAGTGCAAGTTCTATTTTCCTATGAGGCCCAGAATGAAGATGAATTGACTATAGAAGAAGGGGACATCATCACTATTGTAACAAAGGATGTAGAAGATAAAGGGTGGTGGAAAGGGGAACTAAATGGAAAAATTGGAGTTTTCCCAGACAATTTTGTGGAAGTAGTTAAAGCAGATGAGGTAAAGTCACTTTTTAAAAATTATATTTATTGTCAAATAAAGCATGTTAATGTGTTTGATAAAGAACAACCACATTCCTATAGATAGTAAATGAACTTAAAATAAACAACAGTTTCTCTCATATTTATAGAACATGTTAAAGAAAAAAAGCTGATAAGGGAGTGTTCAAGAAATGCAGCATCAAGATAAATTAGATCATGTAATGTGTAGTGAAATTGTGGAAAAGTGATTAAACTACTACTATATTGTTCATTTAAAAATAGCATTTAGAAACTGCAATCCAGTTTTGTTTAATCTGTATTTTACTAACTTTTATTAAAGACTCATCAAAAATGTGTGATAAAATATCTTGTTTTTGATTTAAGCCATGTATTTTGATTTCTAATGTCCTTTTGTTTGTGATTTAGGCTCATTCAAAAAAGCCAGGGCGCCCAGAAAAGCCTGCTGTTGCCGTTTTAGCTACAAATGTACATACAACTACACAGACAAATGTTCCATCGTGTATGGTGGACAGTCCAATAACAGAGAAAGTAACCAAGAAGGGTACAGCAACTTCTAAAATATCTCCTCCTGCTATACCAAAGAAAGGTGTGATTGTTCACTTTCAAATCTGATGATTTGTGAGATATATTTCTGTCATTACTTTATTGATGTGTTATGATGAAAAATATTCATCTGAATATATGTCCAAATGGTAGGGGAAGAATTTTGGGTCATGGAAAAGGAAAAAAGGGTAAAAATTGGAAAGGAAAAGAAAAATAGTGTAAAAGAAACCTTATTGAGGCCATGTGACTATGGTGCTGTTGTTAAACAGTCAGACATGGTTAAAAATTAGGGAAGAATCTTAGGAAGCTTTTATTGACAGTACAGGAAAAATGTAAGTTTTTGAAGGTTGCAGGTTGACATTGTGTAGAGCTTTGGATTCTGGAAGTGGTGAGCCATGTTCAAATCCAAGCAATACCACAAATTTTTCCTTGCACTCTAAGCTGTGTGTGCTTTATAATACTGACAGCCAACTTTTCATTTTGGTTGATGTGGTCGGGTGTTGCTGACAGGTCTGCATTTTGGTCAGTAGGTCAAAATTAGGGGCAGTGGCAGATAATCTTTGTAACCTTGCCATAAACACAAAATACAGATCTTTTGTTAAACAAATATTTAACCCTATTGTGTTACTATGTTTTTATTAATTCATTAAAGTGTTTTTTGTTTTGTTGTTTTGTGTATTAATATTAATTTTTTGGTGCTCACTCTTATAAATATTCAGATTGAATGTCAGTACACTAAGGAAAACCTTTTATAAAAATCTTATCAAAGTGCAAGTCACAAAAATCATTTAATCAAACTTCAAATGATTCAAAGGCTGATAATTCTTTTTATATTCAAAATGAAGAATGAAATGTTGAAAATATCAAACAGTTTATACAGGCTTTAATTGACCTTGCTTTTTTTTTGCTTATTATTTTTATTTTTTTGGAAAAGGATATTACTGCATCTGTTCTTCTAAGCCTCTTTACAGCCTAACAGGATGTTATTTTAAATCTTAGGACATTTGCACACCAGTGGAAAAGTGAATTGAGTTTGTGCAGATACACTGTGATTGGTAAAGAGATAGAGAAAAATGAATTTTTTATGGTATTATAGGACTCATCACTTTTGATGAGCAAAGCCAAAACAAATATTTTGTGCTCTTTTTTTTTCTGTCATGGAAAAATATTTAGACCACAGAGAATCTTAAGTATCAAAAAGTTTAATTCTGATACAATATCTTATCTCCTCTTCAAAAATAGCTTTTCTCGATTAGTATTGCTCTCTATTGGTTCAAATTTTCAATGCTCGCCACTAGCCTTCCTCCTCCTGCTTCTGCATATCCACATGAAAATGCAGTTCTCCACCAATAGGAGTGTGACACAACTCCTATTGTAACCAGCACCCTCTTCACATATGCATTCATTAATCACTTCTCAATTGGCAGTAGTTCTGTACAGATGTGCTGGTTTTTGCTCGCAGATATGTCGACATTTTCCTTTATACTGCAGACTTAGTTTTTCTTTACTAGTTATTTAAATTTTCATGTTTTGGAATTGTGCAAGGTTGCTATTTCCAACTTTTCTTACTTTTTCAGGGGTATTTTGTGACCATACTCAATGTCAATTACATTGTAGCCCTTCCTGCCGTGGACCTGGTGTATAATTCCAGATGCCACCAGGTGTTGGTTGTGTGTCTCAGTTCTATTATTCAATAATTACATTGCAGGATTAAGTTATGCACACAGTAGAGATGGGGTGTTCTGTAGGACTGCTAATAGTTCTCTCTCTAGAGGTTTTGTGCTTCATAAATATGTATGTTGTTGTCAGAATGTAAAAATCTGATCTTTGCTAATTGTCAAAATAAGAAGGCTTTTAGGTATATTT